AAACATCTTAAAATAATATTCTACAATGGTGGAGTTTCTTGAGGCTTATTAATGCATCCTTAGTTTTGTTTAACCCAACCCAATCCCTCCTTTCTTCTACTCCCTGTCCCTATCCCCACTTAAACCTCTAGTTTCCAATATTCCTCATTGTTCATTCATATTACATGTATTTTTTCATCTAATTATATTTTTATTTGAGTTGCTAGATCATAGGCTCCCATGTAGCTTCTTCATACACACTTTATTTTTGTTAATTCTTCCTTTGAACATATTTTCTCATCCCCTTTAGTCTACTTCTTGCTTGAGCCCTTCTGCCCCTAATAGCCCATTTCTCCTTTCACCTATATTTTATTATCCTCTCTCTTCTAAATATGTCACACTATGGCCCATTTCCAGTTTTATGGCTTTCACTTGTACTCCAGGTTAAATACACAAAATAAAAATTAATCTAAAATATATATATATATATATATATATATATATATGAAAGAGAAATATAGAATTTGTCTTTTTGAGCCTTGGAGAATCCCACTCAGTTTAATTTCTTCTAAACCTGTACTCTTCATTATTTTCCTTTCTTTTCCATCTGAGTAATATTCTGTTGTGTATATATGTACCAACATTTCAGTCCATTCTTCAGTTGATGGGTGTTTTTGTTTATTTACCTTCCTATTAATTGTGAATAGAGGCAAAAATGAATGTGGATATGCAAGTATCTCTGTAGTAAGGTATATAGTCTTTTGAAAATATGCCTAAGAGTGGTACACTCCAAACTGATTTTCAAAGAGGATGCACTGGTTTTAACTCCTACCAACCATGTATAAAGGTCCTCCTTCCCCACGTCCTTTCCAGCATTTCTTATCATATGTACAGTTCCTGATCATGGCCTTCCTTTCTTCTTTATTTTTTTTTGAGACAGGGCTTCTCGGTGTAGCTTTGTGCCTTTCCTGGAACTTGCTTTGGAGACCAGGATGGCTGAGAACTCACAGAGATCTGCCTACCTCTGCCTCCCAAGTGCTAGGATTAAAGGCGTGTGCCACCACCGCCTGGCATGGCCTTCCTTTCTTGTGTGAGATGAAATCTTAAAGTAATTTTAATCTGCATTTCCCTTAACAGCTAAGGATGTGGGACACATTATGAATTATTAACTAAAATTTTATATTTATTCTTTTGAGAAGTTTCTTCTCAGTTCCCTAGCCCTTAAAAAATGATGTCCTTCATCCCTCTGGTTCTTAAACTCTTCCCACCTTCTCTTCTGCAGAGTTCCCTGAGCCCTGTGGGTTTTGATGGAGACATCCCATTTAGGGTTGAGTGTTCCAAGGTCTCCCACCATGCATATTTTCTGGCTGTGGGTCTCTATTTATTTCCATCTACTTCAGGAGGAAGCTTCTTTGATGATATCTGAGGAAAGCACTGATCTATAAGTATATCAGAATTTCATTAGGAGAAATTTTATTACTGTGTTCCTTTAGCAGAACAGTAGCATTTGATTTTCCCCTAGATCACTGGTCTCAGGTTATTGGCCACCCAAGTAGTATTGGGTATGGGTTCCATCTCTTGTAGTGAGCCTTAAATCAGATATTGGTAGGTTGCTCCTACAAGATTTGTGACATTATTGCACCCAATGTATCTTACAGGAAGGTCACCATTGTAGATCTAAGCATTTCTAGCTGGTTTGGTGTTTACCTTTCTCCTATGGTAGCAAGCAGAGTACCTTCCAGTACCATGAGCATTAAGTCTGTAGGGGTGAAGGCACTAGGTAGGCACCAGTTCAACTTCTCCTTGCACAATTGATTCACTTAGGTGTTGTCTTCAGCAATAGAGCTTTGCCATCAGTTTGTAGAGAGGAATTATAAAGCCTTTACAATAGTCTGGATTGTTTGAGGGTTCCCATTGGACTCCTTTGGCTAAAAACTCAATTAGATATAACACATTTCCGGTGCTGGGAACATAATTTGGTGATGAGATACCAAATTGTATCTCTGTCTCTCTCATTTTCGGCAATTTCATTTAGAATATATATATATATATATATATATATATATATATATATTGAATATATATTAGATTACATACATATATATTAAATAGGTTTCGACATGACCCCTCAATTGGCCCTTAGTTTTAGCTGTTTCTCCCTGTATTCTCTCCCTTGCTCCCTTTCCCCTCCACCTCCTTGCTTAATCCTCCTGTTCCAGCCACCTCACCACATCCTGCCTTGTCTATCTATAAATATCTATTCTATTTCACTTTCCTGGGGAGATGCATCCCTACCCCCAGTTGCTTATGCTATACCTAACCTCTGTAACAGCTAGCTCCCACTCCAAGTGAATACATACCATATTTGTCTTTCTGGATCTGGGTTACCTCACTCAGGATAACTTTTTCTAGTTCCATCAATGATAGATAGTGCCATGTACCATACAAAAGCAGTTTAATGAGGTCCATTTATTGCTCATTGTTCTTAGTACCTGTGCTAATTGTGTTCTGTTTGGAAAGTCTCTTCCTGTACCAATGAGTTCAAGACTACCCCACTTCCTCTTCTATCAGATTCAGTGTATCGTATATATGTGCTTATGTTCTACATGCAGCAAATTCAATTTGTGCTGCTCATATATTCCTGGATGTGTGGCCTTCCACTGTAGTGTGGGATACACTCTTAAGAAAACTCATCTCTTCCAGCAGTTATCACTTGTCAATCTCTCCTTGGATAGGAGTAATAATTTGTGCCAAACTCCCCTCTCTATCCTGGAATTTTATCTGGCTTGAGCTTGCAGGGGGCTTGTGCATGCTGTAACTACCTCTCGGGGTTTGTATATACAGCTGCCTTGTTGTGTTCAGAGGATACTGTTTCCTTGTATTTATTCAGCACCTGATTTTTCCAGTACTTCTCATCTTTTGCAGTGATCTCTGAGCCTTCATTGAAGGGATATGATACGGATGTTACATTTAGGGTTGTGCATTTCATAGTCTTTTATTTTCACTTTGAGCACTGGTGGATCTCTGTGTTAATCTCATTAGGTTGTCTTATTTGCTGGGAGATGACAGAATATTTATTGGGATATTAAAACCACATGGAATGAAAGAACTTGTTAAATCTATTTTTTCTATTATGAATACTCCTGATTTATTTTGGTTAGTATTTGAATGCATTTTCTTTTATCATCCCTTCAATTTCACTGTATGTGAACACTAAAATGTAAATGCAAAAATGGTAATACTGTCTTTAATTGAGTTTAAGTTTAAACCAATAAATAATAAGGAAGGAGTCAATATTGCCATTTTATTTTGGGATGAGAGTGTTATGGTTCATTCATTTCTTCTTTTTCTATGTTACTATCTTCCTTTGTGTCTCCCCGCCCCATTTGTGTGAATGTGTGAATGTACTTTAATACCTTTCTTCTATGTATCACATAGATGGCACACTTTATTTGAGGCTACCATGAGACTTAAGTAAAACAGCTCTTATAACTGTCTTAAGGTGATTAAGAACTCAACTTCAATTGCGTATGACAAATACATTTCCTTGTAGTTGCACAGTCTGATATTGATATCATAATTTACATATTTTAATAATATATAACCATTAGCATTTTTATAATACTTATATTAATTCTCTGAGTTTTGTCTTTTATAGTAGGATTAAAGATCATCTACTTAACACAGATACAGTATTAATACAGGCTGTATTAGTTCATACATTTACTCTTACTAGAATGTTTATAATTTTATGTTTTCATACTTAATATCCTTGTATTTCTATTTGAAGAACTTTCGTTAGCATTTCTTATAAAGTAATTCAGAATTAGATGGATTCTGTAAGCTTTTGTTTGCCAGATAAAGTATTTCTCTTTATTTACTTTTTAAAACAAATTTGTATGGCATAATACCCTTGTTTAGTGGTTTTTATTATTTCCAATACATTGAATATATCAATGGATTTTTGTCCTTTGAATCTTTTTGTTGAGAATTCTGCGAACAATGATTCCCCTATGCATCATAAATAATTTCCTTACTGTTTTTAATTTTTAATTTGCTTTTGTGATATGTGTCTTTGTATGGATTTCTTTGTCTTTACCTTATATTGGGTTTATATGACCTCATAGATTTTTTTTTCTTAGATTTGGGGCCTTTTGTCCATATTTCTTCAAATAAAATTTTCTCCTGTTTTTTCTTTATCCTTGAGTTTGCCAAAATGTGTGTACTGATACATTTGTCACTATCCTACAACTTCCTTATAATTTCATCACTCTTTTCCTTTTCTTTTTCCCCCTAACTAATTTCCAATTATCTATCTTGTTATTTTATTCTCCTTTTCCATGATTAATTACTATTGATCTACTTTAGTATTTTTTTCATTTAATTATTGTATTGTTTAATTCTTTGTTTTCTATTTGATACATAGTAATTTGCATGTAATCTTGAAATTCTCACTTTGTTGATGGCTTTTCTCATATTCTGCTGAGCATACTTATGATTATTATTTTGATTTATGATTTAGGTATATAACATATATCAATTTCAGGAAATGTATCTGGTTACTTTGTTTTGAAAATTTTCTGTATTTCATTTTTCTCTTTGATTTTTTATACTTATATCTGCACATTATAAAAACAGTCACTACTCCCAGATATTCAAGAGAGAACCTACACTAAGTACCCTGCTATCTAAATCTCAGTATCCCACAGACACCTGGAATATACTAGGTCTCTCTAAGAGTCTACTTCTCATTCTTTAAGACTTATTTTCTTGGGGAAGTGTGTAAAGCACTTGCCACAAAAGCCTGATAATTGAGTTCAGTTCCCAAAACCTAAGTAAAAGCTAGAAAGGGGAATGTTTAGTTTAATCCTATCACTGCAAAAGGAATATGGGAAACAGAAACAGTAAAGTCACTGGAGACTTGAAGACAAGCTTGAGTGGCATGTGCAGCAGTGAATAATAAGAGAGACATTGTTTGAAATAATGTGTAACAAATGCCCCATTCATACAAATAATCACACATGGGTAAGTATACACATGCATACTTCATTTACACACAAAATAAGATTTTAAAAAATATTGAAATTCTTTATGGAATGTTTCCTGAAATTCCTTGGTTAGTGATAGATTTGTGTGTGAACATAGCATTGCTTATATCCACAGTATATTCCTCAGTTTCTCTGTATCTAAACTCTACTTGATGGCTAACTAGCAAATGGTTTTTGAAATAGTGGTAAATGTAGTTGATTAGTAATAATTAGTAAATAATAAAAAAATACCAAACAATTGTATCAATACAAACAATTAGTGGGAAGTAACTAAACAGCAGTAAAAAATATTATAATTAAGAATCCTGTCTAAAATAGTATAATACATGGTAATTTCACTTATATGCTATGTTTTATTTAGGATTTTAATGCTGTGAAGAGACACCATGACCACAGCAACTCTTATAAAAAAAAAAAACATTTAATTCAGGATGGCTTACAGTTTCAGAGGTTTAGTCTGTTATTGACATGGCAGGAAGCATGGCAGTATTTAGGCAGACATCGTTCTTGAGAAGGAGCTGAGAGTTCAGCATCTTGATCCACAGGCAGCAGCAGAAGACTGCCACTCTAGGCCTAGCTTGAGCGTATAAGACCTCAAAGACATCCTCCATGATGACACACTTCCTGCAACAAAACCACCCGTATTCCAACAAGACCACACTTTCTATTACTGCCACTTTTTATGGGCCAAACATTCAAACACATGAGTCTATGAGGGCCATTCCTATTCAAACCACCATATACTATTAGAATAATGTTTAGGTAAAAACATGAATCACATGTAGATCTTTATGATAGTATGATTAGAAACAACTGTTATGAGAGAGAATAGTAACAACTAGTTTCAGTGAGAGACTGTCTTAAAATTTTAAGGGGAAAAATAGTGGCAAATGTCTGATAATGACTCTAGTCTCCACATTGGTATGCAGAACTGAGCACACATGTGCATAAAACCATACATCACAAAAATAAAATTAAAAAATTGACAGGCCTGAGTACAGTATAACATTTTCATGTCCTTTGTAGTTTGGTGTCTCTTTATCTCATGACAAATATTTAAATCCATTTATCCTCATAAGATCATATACTTAATATGCCCTTTTGCAAAAATATAAAAATTGTCATGCCATTTAATAGTGTAGTTCATCTTTAACAACTGTATACTTATTATCTGCTCTTCAGACTATTACTATTCTAGACTGTTCTACTGTTACCTTAAATATGGAATGCTATTACAAACAGTCATACTGTATTTTTTTAGAGTTTCTGCCAGGCAGTTACCCTTTGTCACTAATTTATAATAATAGCACTTTATAATTAAAGTATACTGATACTTGTGCTCAAAGACCATAGCCATTGAGGAAAATAATTACATTTTCAGTACTTTTAACATATAGCTTGGTATAGAAAATTAGTAATTTTACTTTTGTATTTATTATAAAGCATATGAATTTAGGGTACTGATCCCTTTCCTCACCATTATGCAAATATCATTTAATACCATTATGTTATCAGGGGCCCCAAAATAACTTTATATACTTATTGGAATATACTCTCATTTTATTAGAAATAAAATCATGAAGTCTTTCTAGGAAGAAATGTTTCATTATAAGTAAATCATATATGCCTTATCCTAGTGAATATCTTTCAAAGTATACCTACTTGATTGTGCAACTTTTATAAACACCAAAAAATAGTAAAAATTATAATGATCTTTTATGATTTTATGATCTTTTATATGATCTTATGATGATAAGGAAAATTTGATGAGAAAGCCTATGTCTTTGTCTGTAAAATTTATTACCAATTTCTAAATGGAAATTACCATTCAGTATTCCTAAACTCTTTCCAAAATATGATTTCGTGTTTAAGCATAAAAAAAAATCTTAAAACTTGGAGGGAATGGCAAAACAGATGTTTATATTTGTTTTTAAATTTCAATCATGCACCTGCCTATGTACCTTGATGACAAGATTATTCATAATGAAATTCAATAATTTTAGTTTAATTTTAAAGCTAATATAATGGTAAATATCTACATTTCCAGGGTGATATATCATTGAGTTCTTGATAGCTATACAAGATATCATTGCTATTAACTTTCATACCAGAATATATATCAAATACAAGGGTATCTTTTTCTCTCTAAATATACAGATTTTATACATTATAAATGCTGTAGCCTAGAAACAAATAACATTCTTAATATTTCTAGAAACATAATGAAACAATGTAGATAGATTTATCATAACAAATTTGTAAAGCCATAGTTTTATATTGGTCACAGCATTTTATGCATTCTTATATAATGATTTCTTTTCTAAAGAGTAAGCTCTATCAACTTGAAGAAAATGACTATCTGAAGTAAATGACCATGTTTCATTTATATCTTAAAAAGCAGAAAATTGCATTTAATTGAGAAGAAAATTTAGGGTCATGGCCTCCCCTTAAAAAGTCAAATGAGTTCAACCTGGAGGAAATGGGAATGGGGGGTGGGCTGGGGGGAAGGCGGGGGGGGAGAACAAGGGAATTCGTGGCTGATATGTAAAATTAAATTTAATAAATAAATTTAAAAAATGAAAAAAAAACATATTTGCTCTGACATACAATATGCAGAAAATACAATTTATGTGGTAGGTGGTATTGGTCCAACTTCTTTGTTTTGTGTATGGAAAATTATCAGTTGTCCATATGAAAATAAATTTAGAAAATACAATCAGAAAAAAAAGTCAAATGAAACTAACCATAATACTTTGAAGGAAATTATATTTTTTGCACAGATTTCTATTGTAATATGAACATAAAAGTTATATTCACTATATATTTGCCTAGTCTTGCTCATATTTTATTCTTCTCTCTTAGTTTGCAGAATTCAGTTAGCAAGATACAAGACCGAAGACAAAACTGTGAGATTCAAAGAGGCATCTTCAAGTCTCAGTGACATGCATCTCTCACAGGAAAAAATAAAGGAAAAGCACAACTATATCTTTTCTCCAGACTCTCAGACATTTACAGATGAAAAGTATCACGGAAAAGCCAGCCGGAAAATATCTGTCTATAAGCGCCATTGCAGGGAGTATAGATATGCCCATGGTTGTGAGAGTTTTCAGTATCAAATTCCTCTAAGTTCTGAGACTTGCACCTCTAATGTGTCATCGGTTGTTGGCAGCCCAAATTCCGAGAGTCCTAAATCTGTCACAAGACAAAAGACTCGAAGAAGTCTTACATATTCTTTGGATGTGGAAACTCAAAAATGTGCCAGATGTTTTATGGAAATCAGTAACTCTTCTTTTCATAAATGCCCCATAAATTCTGATGATTCTGACTCTGATTCTTCTTTATATGGCCAGATTTCCTCAGATTCTAAATATTCTCTGAGCTCTAAAACTGTTAGACACTTCAAGACTTCTCGAAATAGCCCTTCATCTCGATCCCTGGATCCTAAGCATCATGTGGGCATCCGCTGCTCTCTGCATGGGGATGATTTTAACTATTCTGTGGATTCTACCTCTTATTTACATTGTGAAAGTTGTTCAGCTCTCCAAAATCTTAAGAGCTCTGCTGCTACCCATACCATTCCTATAACATCTAAAAAAAACACGGGCAAACATAATACCTGTGGCCACATATTGTCAACACCAGTAAGATTATCTGAAAGTGAAAGCAAGTTCAACCTTACTGCCCAACCTCAAAATAAGGATAATCCTGATGACAGCATTATTAAATTTATCAGTGCTAGAAATATCAAAGATGAGGCTGATGTTGAAGATAAACTTCTTTCCAAAGATGAGACAGACCATGAAGATGAGACAAATACTGAAGATGAAACAGATGCTGAAGATGAAACAGACACTGAAGATGAAGACAACGACAAAGATAAGAAAGGTCCCAATGACAAATCTGACCCTGATGGCAATGATCCTAAAGATGGCAACTCTGAAAATAATACTGATAGCAATAGTAGGTCTGATCCTAGTGGTGCTTCTGGGCCTACAAGTGGACCTGATTACAGCAATGATGGTGACTCTAAAAATGTAACTGATCGCAACAATCAATCTGATCCTGCCAATGATAATGCCTCCAACAGTGACATTAACTTGAAATATATCACTGATTTAGACAGTTCTTCTGATCTGGCAGAAGATTTCAATCAACACAGTAATGCTACCAAGGGTAGCACAAATCCAACCACTGCCTCTGGAAACGAAAATAGAACTGTGCTGGACTACATTTCTGGTTCCAACAATGATGCTGTTCCTAGAAATGACATTGGACAAGGAAATAATACTTACTCTGAGAATATTAGACCAATTGCCAACAGTTTTGACTTCATCAAAAATGAGACTGATTCTAACAACAATCCCAGTCCCCCAAATAGCCATAGACTACCAAAAGATCTTGAGTCTAACTATAATACCAAACCCTGTAATGCTACTAGTCACAATGTTGTTAATCCTAACAATATTTCTGATCCTAACTATAACACAGAGTCTACTAGCACTGCTGTTCACAAATATACAGATGCCATAAAACATTATTCAGACCTTAATGATATCACAGTGTTTACATACAAAGTAGGGTCAAGTTTTCTAGTTAACCCAAACTATTTTTGCATAAAGAAATATATTAGTAGACCCAGCTCTTTACTTAACACTACCAATGCCATTGCTACCAGCAACATCACCAGCTGTACTAATGCTATTAGCTCTCAGTTTACTGCTGGAAAAAACTATGCCCCAGATAATAAACATTTCCCTAGATTTAGTCATTTTAATGGTTTCAACATTATCATCAAAAATATTCAGAATGCTCATAATTCTACTAGTACCATCAATACTAGTATTTTCACTGATACTGAATTAAAAATCAGCTCCATATCATCTATTCTTAAAATTATTTATGGAAATATCTCTAATTTTATTGCTGGCACCAACCATATTTCTTATCCTGATTTTTTGATAACCTCTGAATTTTATGATCCACTTGAACATGGTAGAGTTTATATAATTTTTGATAACCAAAATATTGGTGCTCAGTTCCAAAACTCTGCTGCATACATGGACTCTGATACTTCTAAGTATGCCACTGGGTCAGCAGATGCCCTTGATGCCAAAGAATCTGGCTTTTTAAAAGATTTTCCTAGGGTCCAGAATCCAATTGGCATCAAGGATTCTTCTCCTTTCAAGATTCTTTCCAATCAAAATATTCCACTCCCTAGTTTTGATGTTATAGTGGAAGCTGAACTACAAGATGTTGTGAAGTGTGCTATATCATCAGGTGCTGTGAATCAATTATTTAAGGTAAGTTTACACAAATACACATCTCAAATTCATCTCTGTTTCCTGTATTTTTAGTGTTAGGTTATTGAACATAGTTTAAAATTATTTTACTTAGTTGCATATATAAACTCTGGAATAGAGGAGACAAGTTATCCGGTATTACTTCTTTGACACATTAAAGTCTGTAGTATGATATTCAATAAGAAATATTCATCTTGTATACATTTGGTGAATGGGAAGATGGCTGAATAGGCTTTAATAGACTGTTCTACTTCTCTACTTTATTAACAATGTTTGAATAGTTCATAAACAGAAACCTAGTCACAAGTGAGCTAGTAAAATTTTTACACATGTAACGCCCACGTGTACCCTTGTTTTGGCTATATTCCTCTTCAGTAATAGAAGAAAGGTTAAGGGAGCTATGGAGGGGAAGGGACAGAAGGAAGAAGGAAGAAAGAGAAGAGCAATCAAATCAAAATTAATCTTAAGTATTGTGAATGAAACCATTTAACCAAAATCAACTTTGAAAACACTCTTTTTTATTTAATATTTTTTTTTATTTTACATACCAAAATACTGATCTTTTTAAGAAGGGTATTTGATGTAGCTTTGGCATTCAAAATTCTCATTTATTTCTAAATTAATAGCACTTGAGTTATTTTGGTGACATATCAGAAAGCAAAGCTCCCCAATTGCTTTTCTAACTTTAGTTTAAAACCTGTTTATCTTATTTTTCTTTATAATGAATAAACCTTTTTTTTCATGCATTAGCTGACTTTATTCAGAGAATCAGAAAATTTATACTCTAGGGTTAAGAAGAGTCACATAGTAAAGTGTACAATCACAAGGACAAGCCACACATGGCAAAAAAAAAAAAAACCATGTTGTTCCATAGAGGCATGTAAACAAATAGCAATAGCCAGTTTAATGAATAATCTGAAACAACTCCTATCCGCTACCAGGGAGCAGTATGAAAACACATTCCAAGAACAGTGTGTTTTTGAAGAAACTGAGGTCATAAGACCCTTGTCTTGTTTTCTTGGAGTTTTCTCAGAAATACTCAGAATTCTCACACAACTCCATTTTTAGACAGTGTTCCAACATGTGCCAGATCTGTGCATTGAAAACAACATTTTTTTTGAGAAACAAAAGTAACTAAATAAATTGAGAGATATACTCCCTCGAGTTAGAAAAGTCAGTACCATTAAGGTGTCAGTTTTTCCAACTTTGCAGGTTAAATATAATCACAATCAAAATATTTTTATGTTAATAACAAAAAATGTGATATTTGCTGGGCATAGTGGTGAATACATTTAATCACAGCACTGGGGAAGCAGGCCAACGAGGTGCATATAGATCATTCCAGGTGCTCCCAAACTTCAGGAACCTATATTTTTATCAAATATTTCCTTTAGTAGTCTGAATTACATGCACAAATTAAGATTGCTAAAGTATATGGAGAACTGTTTTTGACAATAAGTACTGTTTTTTATGTAACTTTATGAACACATTATCAACAAAGCATAATTAAGATGCTATACATTAAAATTTTATCCCTTTTATACTTTAGACAAAGTAAATAAATTTTTAGTGTCTTGTGCAAATATTCAACTTTATATAATTTTTCATAAAATAAGTAAATGAGTGTAACTATACATTTAGAGTGCAGCACAGATTCAAATAGCCAAAAGAGAAGTACAAAATTATCTCCTTAATGCTTTTATTAATTTAGTAGAGAACAGTTTTATGGTTTTTCCCAAGAGACAGCTTCTTCCTAGAAACAGCAAGTATGGCTTTTATGTTTTTATTATATAAACTTAAAGTTAATACTGGCTAATTATAAGTAATAAAAGTATTGCTCAGATAAAATCTTTAAAATTTAAAGAGTTTGTTTTTCTTGTTTTTCCAATTATTTCTCTCAAGTGAACGTTTGTTTGCATTAGTATGACAAAAATTGAAATATGTTTTATTTATTCTTTTGTTATTTATAGCCAAATGAAAGCATGGTTTTAAAGTTTACAATTTTTGAGGACTATAGTTAGCATTTTGTGGTTAAAATTATGGCACTTAAGAACTATGTTTTCTAACTAAGGGTGACAAGATGAAATATACCTACAAAATAGATTTCATTTACATTAAAAACAAATTTTCCAAGTGCAAGGCATTGATTTCTCTAAAATATAATAACAAAGTGAGCTTTTTATGTACTATGTATCAAAATAAATATTATACCTGGCAATATATTTTCTAATGTTTATATCAGGACTAGACAATTGAAATATTTGCAACCAACTAAAATGTTTTTATTGGAGATAGCAGGCTTCACAGTAAATTGTGAATAGCTTTGGAAATAATATATTTGTTGTGCCTTCCAAAACAGTATTTTCTGCAAGAGTAGTTGCCTTCCCTTAGACATTTGGTGTTCCAGATTTCCCTGGTTTATTATATCCATGTTCATTGAACACAAAAATTGTCAATAGAACATGTATGCTTTTCATTCATACCATTAACAAAATGATAGAATCTCACGTTTCAGAAATAGAACTTTTCTACCAATCACAATCAACTAAAACAACCAACAATGGTCCAGCATACATAGTTAAACTACTTGTACCTTTTTTATTGAAGTGTTTAATAGACATTTAATAATTAAGCCATCCTTTATGCTATAAAATAAAGTCTAAGTGATAAACATAGATGCTAGCATCTAAAAACTCACAGTCTACTAACTTTCATATAAAACAAGTACACATTTGAGATATCAGGTAAAAGAAAACAAACTTAATAGCTTCTCTGAGTTTCCAGAGTGGTTTGAAATGTTTAAGATACTTTGATCACAACACATTGCCAGTGTAATTAAGTTAGTTCAAAGTATATGTGTAGGTTATCATTTTGTGCTACAAGTTTTAGAAATACTTAATGATATCTTAATTCCCAAAGTTATCTCTTTTATGGTAATGGCTAATGTTGTCTATAGTAGAATTAGAACTACATTACTAAATGACTAGTGTCATTGAATAAGTTATCTAAAAGATTATAAAAGCAGAAGTAATACAATTCCATATTTGATGACAGATGTGAATAACTTACAAGAACTGCATTAAAACAATTCAGTCAGCCATTTTGTATTTACAGCATAATGTTTCAAGTACAAAATGATGAAATAATGACACTGAAAAATAAAATACTTTTATGAACAATACAATACTTTTATATAGTCTAATAAAACTAGAAAGTTATTAGTATGGAGTAGGCATTTCCATTAATAAATGTTTGCACATAACAAATATGCTTTTTGTGCTGAAGTTCCCTCTTACATCTAAAAAGTGCTGCAAATATAAATCAGTAAACATGTTCTTATTTATAAGTATGTTGAATATTTGAGAGATGCAACAGATAAGGCGCTGTTTTGGAAAGACTGAAAGTTACAATATAACATTGTCAAAAGTAAAATAGTCTTAAGAGGACAGAAGTTGTTGGACTTGTACCTTTAAGTGCTATCCCTAGTATAACATGTCCTTCCTGATCTTATTACCATGGTGGATTTTATACTCTTTGCTCTTTTGGGTCCCGCCACCCAGTTCCCAAAAAAATGGAGATTTATTCTTAGGAATGCTTGGCCTTAGCTTGGCTTGTTTCTAGCCACCATTTTTAAAATTATCCCATCTACTTTTTGCCGCTGGGCTTTTATCCTTCTCTGTTCTATATACCTTTCTTTACTTCTATGGCTTGCTGTATAGCTGGGAGTCTGGCCCATAGAGTACCCCTCTTCTTCCCCTTTTCTCACTCCTCAGTCCTCTTCCCAGATTTTTCCTTATATTTATTTTCTCTGAGTGCCAGCCCCAACTATCCTTTCTCCTACCTAGCTATTGGCCATTCAGCTCTTTATTAGACCAGTAAGATGTTTTAGACAGGCAAAGTAACACAGCTTCAGAGTTAAACAAAGGCAACATAAAAGAATACAACACATCTTTGCCTCATTAAAACAAATGTTTCACAGCATAAACAAATGTAACACATCTTCAACTAATATGTAACAACAGAGGGTCATTTATAAGTTTAATTAGTGAGGTTAACAGACTTTAAAACAAATGTTAAATGCCCACATAGTCCAGAGAATGCAGTGTCCTTCTAAAAAAAAATGGCCCTCAATATATTTACATAGAGATAATCAATTTGTTCACTCCTGGCTTTTTATGAGTATGCTATATTTTCTTACAGTGGAAGATGTGTTTCTTAGAAATTTTCAGTCTGAAATACCACGAAAGATCTCCTGTTCAAAGATAAAGGCAACTTGCTCAAGGTCTGTTAATCGTTCGACTTCCTTACTAAGAGCACCATCAGTGTACTAAACATCACCATAAAGTAGCTATTTGATATAACAATTTAATATTTTTCCATGTTACTAAAGTACTTGATGGTCTCTTAGTGTTATATTACTTGTCAGATAATGATTTTTATCTTTCATATTTTTGTAGTGTTGAGTTATTGAACCAGGGCCACTGTTGTGTTAGACAAATGATCTGGCATTTAACTACACCTATAACTTAGATGGGGACTTGAAATGTTCAGTTGAGATATAATAAATTGAATTGTATTTTATTTTTGGTATAGTTAAACGTCTCAAATTTAATATAACCAAAGTATTCTCTCCAAGAATTCTGAGAGGGGGAAAAAATGCAATTAAAAAAAGAGAGAGCCACTACTAATGTAAATCTTTCAGTTGTTCTCTGGATAATTTATGAGAAAAATCATCATTAATCTTATAAAAGATGAAGATGTTGCCAGGTAAGATGGCACATGCCTTTAATTCTAGCACTCCAGAGGCAGAAACAAGCAGATCTCTGTGAGTTCGGCATAGCCTCATCTATATAGCAAGTTCCAGATAGACTAACAAAGACTACATAATAAGACTATGTCTTAGAAAAGAAAAATAGCTTTAAACTTTGTTTTAAACCTTTCTTTACATTTATGTGATGTGTTGTTTTCTGAGCCAAATACAAACCTACAAAGACATGAGTGAGGAATCTAAAGTGAACCAATTGTCCCAAGTTCCAAGTAAAAAACACCTTTGTTACTGCTTTGGTGTATAGAAAAATAAATGCCTATGACCTTTCTGAAAGCAATTTCAGAATCATAATTTCCCTGATTCTTCAGGGTTTCTCATCTAGTTTTCTATTATAGTATCAAAGCTGCACTTTTCATCTAGTAAATTGTATACTACCAATAGAAACTGGTAGCATCTAAATAAAATACATAGTGATAAACAATGAAGAAAGAAAAGTTTGTGATAGGCCCTGAAATGACAATTTATAGATAATAATATATGATTCTCAACCAGAAAAAAAATACTAAGATTGCTAATTATGAGAATTTTAAGCAGTTCAGAAAATATGTAACTCATTCAAAATATTCTTCGATACAAATTGTAAATGGTATGTAAAGTTACATAATAAAAGATTGAGAAATTGATGAAATTGGAGGATAGATAAAATTTGCGGTTATTCAAGTGCTTAGTAATACAAAATACACTTTTAAGTAGTTACATTATCTCTATTTCCCACATGAGGAATTAGAAGCATAGAATATTTAAGTAACATTTCCATTATTACATAGCTATAAGATGAAATAGCATATAATTAAACATATAGAGTTAATTTCTATATTAGATATAACTTTCTATTGTAGCAATCAAATACAGTAAGCATAGCATTAACCTAATATATCATGCATATAGGTTACAAACTAACTTCACTTTGGTCCCATCTTAGTATTTTAATAAACAGTATTATCCCTGTTATTATAAGATAATCATAGCAGTATCTTGAGTAAGGACTTGAACTTTTCAAGGGTCACAATATCTAACATTTTCTATTAAATAAACTATTTAAAGTACTCTATAAGAAGAAATATATTTTTCTTTTATTATCACTGATGACTCCCTAGTTTTTTTTTTTTATCCTGTTGTTGCAGCTCAGCCTCCAAACAGGTAGCAGACAAAACCTTGGCCTTTGATTAATGAAAAGAACACCTTGAGATAGAAAAGACAAAAGCACAACCAAGAAGGATCTGAGGATATGAGCAAATAACTTCAAAAAGAACTACAAAGATCCCTGAGCAATGTTTATTTTATGTTTATTCTTAGATATTCTCCCTATTATATGTCCATGCATTTATTGTCTGTTGTGGCCACAAATATTTCAAAGTACCATGTGATATTTGCCCCATCCATATTACTTATATGTGACAGACTCTGGAATTAGGAGAAGGACACACTATAATCTTCTCTAGACATACAAAAGTAAATTTTATTGTTAAATATTCAAAATGCAGACATGTTTTCCAACCAGAAATTCTTCCCTTTATTTTTATTCTTAAGAAGATAGCTTTACCCTTAAAAAATTAAAGACAAATTTTATTTAGTATTGTGGTGACCATTTTAGATTTAAAAGAACCCATTCTTAATCTATATTTTATTGTTAATCTTAATTGTTATTGTTATCACTGTCTTGTGAGTATGGAGCTCAAAATTAAAATAGTTAAGACTCATCAGTATTGTGTAGTGTTTGTTTAACTTTCTATTTATCTCATTCAAGTGAATCTATCTATGGATCCTCCTGAAAGAAACAACAGATCATATAGGACTTAACAATATAGCTGAAAAATAATTGAAATAAAAGAAAATTTATTTCCTTTTCAGTTAGAAGACAGAGCTAGGTTTCTAGACATACTTAAGTAAACACCTTCTTTTGACTCTTGATTTCCAGGTACACTACACACTTAGGACAATCAAGCCATCCAAATTTGAGAAATCTTTAAGTAAGATACAGACAGTTTAGAAACTCTGTGTGCTCTATTACGCATTAGTGTCTTCTCCAGCTAGCCAAGTCTCCTAAATATTCTACGCCTTACTTTGTTTATACACATACACACACATACACACACACACACACACACACACACACACACACACACACACACACAGCATGTTCTCTTTCATACCTTACCTCAACATAAAAATCACCTCCTTCATAAGCCTCATATAAACAATATGGATGGGCTCTGTCCACCAGTTTTTTAGTTATAGGTCATTAATGTAGATCTTAACACATGTGGGGAACTACCAATAGTTTAGCATGCATAGAGTTCATTGTGTAGATGGGGTGGTGATAGTAACTCATATTGGGAACAGATGTAAGACCCTTGTTTACCATAATAGAAGAGTCAGGCTTCTCTAAAATAAATGGATAATTCTTAAGAACTTAAAGCAGGGTAATAATATGATATGATTGAGCTGCAAACAAACCAGTTTATTGGTTGTATGGAGGATTGATTTTAGAGGAAGCTGAGAGTTAAGGGCACTAGAAAGCCTGTCTCCCTGTATTATTGTAGACTTTTAACTCAAATGGTCTTGAAATAAGGCAGTAGGTAGTAAAAATGGAGATGAGAAAGTATACTTGAGATATTGAAATAAAAACAACTTAAAATTGCTGTGCCGGGCGGTGGTGGTGAACGCCTTTAATCCCAGCACTCGGGAGGCAGAGGCAAGCGGATCTTTGTGAGTTCAAGGCCAGCCTGGGCTACAAAGCGAGATCCAGGAAAGGCGCAAAGCTACACAGAGAAACACTGTCTCGAAAAACCAAAAAAACAAACAAAAATGCTGAATAATCGGATGAGGGGGGAAAGAAGGAAATACTTAAGAGAACTCAGTTTTCTGATGTGAATGATATTGGTGGTATGATTAATCTAAAAATAGAAAACAAAGAGTATTATGTATGCCCGAGGAGATAGTTACATTTGACTTAAGATTTAGAATCTGAGTAACATCTAGAAATGATATCCTTGGCCCTGCAAGATTTCTCAGTGGTTAAAGGTGCCTACTGTCACTACTGATGATCTACATTTGATCCCTAAAACCTACATGGTGGAAGGAACAAACCAACTCCCATAATTTATTCTCTGACCTCCACACATGTACCAGTGCACATGCACACACATACACACTCACAAATTATAAATATATTTTTTAAATGAAAGTAAAAAATGTAAATGAAAATGATGTTCCAGATTTATCTAGTGTGAGACCAGAATCTTAAGTGCCCTCAGTGAAGAAAGAAAGCTAAGCATAACAATGTTAAGAATACCTTGTTTTGTTTTGTTTTGGTTTTTGGTTTTTGGAGACAGGGTTTCTCTGTGTAGCTTTGCACCTTTCCTGGAACTCGCTTTGGAGACCAGGCTGGCCTCGAACTCACAGAGATCCTGGCTCTGCGTCCCGAGTGCTGGGATTAAAGGTGTGTGCCACCACCGCCCATCCAAGAATGCCTTGTTTTTAATGTATTTTATTTCCAGAACCTTACATCTTCTTTATTTGTATCAATTAGGTGAAGAAAAACCTAAAATAAACAAGAAAGTAACAAACTACATGTTTACATTGAATATAAAATAAACATTCATTGATTTCTGAGTCTTTTCTGCATAATCCTAACATATATGAATAAATTTTCTTTTTAATTCATTTCATTCAATAACAAATTTCTATGAAAATGTTTCCTCTAGATTTTACTGGTAAAGCACACTCTAAATATACAGGTTTTTTTTTAATTCAGTAAATTGTACAAAACAAGTTTTCATAGTTACTCAACTTGGCCTCCTTGAAGATGCTATTCATTCTGTAAAATAAACCAACAAAGTTGTCGATATATAGGAAGGATATGGCATAAGGCTCTAACATCCTCTCCAGAGCTCCCCTATAGTCCTTTTTTACATAGTTTACTGGATTCTGAAGTTGTCCCAAGTTATGTATTCACATCTGAAGATTTGGAGCTAGATGCACAGAAGAGAGAAAACATTTGGTGTTTGTCTGAATCTGGGTTATCTCATTCAATATATTTTCTAATCCACCCATTAATCTGAAAATTTCATCATTTCTCAGTTTTCTGCTGTTAAATACCATTCCATAGTGTATCTGTATCATATTTTCATTATCAATTTTTTCATATGAATAGCATCAAGGTTGATTAGATTCACTGTTGTGAATAGAGCAACTGGACATTTGCTAAATAAATATCTGGAATAGATTGTCAATTCCTGTGTGCATTTTCCAAGAAGCAATATAGCTAGTTCATATGGTAGACTCATTCTTAGCTTTGGGGTAATTACTACACAGATTTGCAGAGTGACTGTACCAGGTTGCAATCCTACCAACAGTAAATGATGGCTCTCCTTTCCTCATGCCTTATGCAGCATTTATTTTGTTGCCTTTAGCTATTCTGACTAAGATAAGATACAATCTCAAAGCTGTTTGGATTTTCGTTTCTCTAATTGCTAAGGATGATGAACATTATTGAGATGTTTCTTAGCCATTTTGTTTCCTTTGAGAACTCTCTCTTTAGATCCATAGCCTGTTTATTAAATAGGTCATTTGTTTTTATGAGTCTCTTTTTGAGTTCTTTATAAATCTTGGACATTAATCTTCTATCAGAAGTGTAGCAGACAAAGATTCTGATCTTCACTTTTGTTTCCTTAGCAATTCAGAAACTTTTAGTTTTATGAGGTCCTACTTTTCAATTGTTGGCCTTAATTCCTGGGTAAATGGAGTGCTTTTCAGAAAGCTATTTCTTCACCTGTATCTTGTATCGTACTTGCTGACTTTATTTCTTGCAGTTGCAAGTGAACATTGAGGTCTTTGATCAATTTTGAATTAATTGTTGTTAAGGGTGATCATGGAGACATCCAGTTTTCATAAAATCACTTTTTGACGAAGCTATCTTTTCTCCAGTGTATGTTTTTTGTTAGCTTTGTCAGATATTAGATGGCTGTAGTGATGATTGCTCAGTTTTCTTCCATTGGTCTACATGCCTGTTTTTGTGTCAGTACTATATTGTTTTTTATTACGATATAACACTGATATAGCTTAAAATCTGGAATGGTAATCCCTCCAGCATTGTTCATTTTATTCATGATTGCTTTGGCTATCTGGAGTCTTTTGGTTATTAGAATAGTTTTTTCTTCTATTTCTGTGAAGCATTAGATTTGGGTTTTATTTATTGGATTGCATTGAGTCTGAATAACTTTTAATATAATGGTCATTTTCATAATGTTAATTCTACCATTTTATGAGCATGGGATGTCTTTCCAGTTATTGTCTTTCTCAACCTTTCTTCAGAGGTGTAAAGTGTTCGTTATAGATGTTTATAATTCCTTTGTTAGGTTTGTTCCTAGAACATTTATTTTCTTGAGAATATTGTGGATGAGTGTTTGTTCATGATCTTTTTCTCAGTGTATTTGTCATTGGTGCATCAAAAATAGATACTGATATTTTAATTTGACTCTCATTTTGACAGTTTGCTGAAAATGTTGCTCATTTGTAGGTGTTTCCTGATAAGCATTTTAGGATCTCTTAATGTATATTATGTCACCTGAAAATGGGGATAATTTGACATCTCCTTGCCTCTATATATTTCTTTAATTTTATTTTCTTTCCTGATTGTTCCAGCTAGTGCTTTGACCACTCTATTAAAAAATAATGTAGATAGTTGACATCCTAGTTTCCTCCCTGATTTCAATGGCATTGCTCTGAGTTTTCTCCATTTGGGATGATGTTGGATGTGAGTTTCTCATATATAAACTTTATTATGTTAAAGTATGTCACCTTTAGTCCTACAATATCTAGGACATTGGTCATGATGGAAAAGTGGATTTTGGCAAAAAGCTTTTTCTGCAACTATTGAGAGGACCATGAGATAATTCTTTCTATCTTTAAAACCATGTTGTAATTATTACATTTAATGATTTATATCTGCTGGATCATCCTGGCATGGTGAATATTTTTTGATATGTGCCTGTATTTTTTACAAGTATTTTATTGACGATTTTTAAAAATCTATGTTCATCAGGAATATTGGGCCTAGAGTTCTTGTTTTTTATCAAGCTTTTGTCGGGTTATGGTATTAGAGCAATACCGGATTCATAGGAGTTTGGAAATGCTGCTTCTGTTTCTGTATTTATTTTATTCTCTCATATATTACACCCCAACTGCATTTTCCCTCCCTCCTCTTCCTGGCCCTCCCTCTTCACCTTCTCTCCTCCCTCCCTGATCCATGCCTTTCTTTCCCTTAAGAAAAGGCCAGGCTTCCCAGGAATATCAACCAAACATGGCATATTAATTGCAGTAAAACTAGACACATCTCCTCATCGTAAGGCTGGATGAGGGAACTACCCAGTAGTAAGGAAAGGATCCCAAAGCAGTACAAAGGAGTCAGAGACACCCCCCCACCCCCGCTGCTCCCACTGTTAGGAGTCCCACAGAAACACCAAGCTATACAACCTTAACATATATGCAGAGTACCTAGGTCAGAACCATGCAGGATCCCTGATTGTCGGTTCAGTCTCTGTGAGCCCTACTAGCCCTGGTTAGTTGATTCTGAGCCATTTTCTTGTGGTATTCTTGAACCCTCTGACTCCTTTAATTTTTTTTCCCATTCATCCCCTGGATTATCCCACCTCCACCT